GTCGTTGCTCTCCGTTCTTGATCACCCGTAAGGTGTTCTTTCATAATAGATCTCCCCTCTAAAAAAAAACCTAAAATCACGGCCGTGAACTGTATCGCGTAACTGTAAAATACAACTTGGAGTGTATCGCTGGAATCAAACATGACAACTACGGGAGTTGTCGCTGGACGTCGCCAATTTAAAATTTTAATCCAACCTAAATCCGCAAATACAGTCCACAAATTTTTAAATAAAACCACTTTTGCACCAGTTATTGTCAACAAGCCTGCGATTAGCGGTTGCGGTAAGTGCAAATCTTCCTAATGATGAAAGAGATCTATGTCCAAAAGTAAGCTTTAACGAGCTGATTACAGTGAATGAAGAACCAATGTAACCGATATTTATATTTAATATATATATATATATATATATATATATATATATATATATATATATATATATATATATATATAATAAATCCCTTTATTCCGATCTAATAGCATTTAACATTAAAACTTAAGAAGTTATAACTATAAAATGTCTCTTAGTTCGGCGTGCCTATTGGCAAAGGCCTCCTCCAACAATTTCCATTGTTGTCTATCTTGAGCAACTCTTCTCCAGTTTGGTCCTGCTGTAAGTTTTATTTCGTCTTCCCACCTTGCATGCTGCCTTCCTCGTTTTCTTTTGCTGTCCCTTGGATACCATTCTGTTACTCTCCTGCTCCACTTTCCCATTTTGTCACGCATCATATGTACTGACCATCTCCACTTCTGTTGATCGATTCGTTTGAGTATGTCAGTAAGTTTCGTTAAATTCCTAAGGTCAATATTTCTGATCTTATCCTGTCATTTATAGCCGGTCATACTCCTCTCCATTGCTCTTTGTGCCACTGCAAGTTCTCTCAATACCTTTGTGAGGGTCCAGGTTTCGCATCTGTATATTAGACAAGGTAAAATGCAAGTATTAAATGCTTTCCTTTTTATTGACATGCTTAAGTCTTTGGACTTCATGATCTCTTTTAATGACTAGTATTTCTTCCAAGCTGTTGCGATCCTAAAGTTAATTTCTTTCGTCATTTGATCTTCTATGGAAATTACTTGACCCAGATATATGTAGTCTTTTACATATTTTAGAGTATCGCCGTTTATTGTGATGTTAAAATTTGTGCTGTTCGTCATTATTTTGGTCTTGTTGGGGTTCATTTTCAGTCCAACTTTTATGCTTTCTTCATTTAGATTATTTATCATATATTCGAGATTTTCAGGGCGTTCTTCAATTAATACCAGGTCATCTGCAAACCTTAAATGGTGCAGTTTTGATCCGTTTATATTGATGCCATACTTATCCCAATATAGGTTGCGGAAGATATTTTCTAACACAACAGAGAACAATTTTGGGGATATATATATATATATATATATATATATATATATATATATATATCATAATTCTATTAAAAATCAAAATACATATGCGTTGTCACCCCTGAGGACTGACATGGAATGCCTCGTTTCCAGTAAAATGGGTCTTCGGTTCTCTACACTTACCATACGAAACACAGCAACATTGAGCTGCTATTTCACTATGGTGATCCGTGAGAGCATAGTCATTTACCGATTGAGTCAACACATTTCTGATGCAACCTAAACCTAACTGCAGCGTGGCTCTACCACGTGACTTAAATATTCGAAATCGTTAAATTACTTTGAAATTTTGTCCGTGAAAAATGATCCCGCTTTAGAAAGTTATACCAACGTCTAAAAGTAAATCAACCCTCTAACATGCGAAAGCTTTTAAATGGAACCGTAAACGCTAAATCTTTCTTGAAACAGATGTGAACGGCACAGAACGGGTATCGAGTAGACATGTTTGAGCGACACGCGGTAATTGCTAAACAAACCTTCTCCCGCCTCCTCCAACATAAACGACAACGATAACATGAAAAGCTTACGCGTATATTTTTGCAGTATATCATATATGGAATATTCATTAAAATCACAAAGTGTTCCTTGTGGTTACTAGGCTAATAAATAAATGTTTACAAGTGTTAAGAAATTTCAAAATGTCAACCATATGCATTTTGACTTATGACGGACGTAGCATTGCATTTCCATTTGCACGTATCACTAATCTTATTATTTATTTATTTATTTTTATATCATACTAATGAAATCATTATATCTTTAATTTAATTTAATGGAAGAATTATTACGTGGTAGAACTATGCTGCAACCATATGTAGTATAGTTGTAGCACAGGGTCGGCTCGACCGTGGAAGGACCACGCTCTCACAATACCAGCGTAAAATAGCAGCTTAATGCTGTTGTGTTTCGTATAGTGAGTGTAGAGAACCGGATACCCTTTTTACTGGAAACAAGGCGTTCTGTCTCAGTCCTCAGGGGTGAAAACGCGTCTGCATTTTTATTATTAATTGAAGATAAATATAGATGTCTATGGGCCACAGCATCCACTTCCCATCAAGTGGACTGTGTGCTCGTTTGTCACCTTTATTCTTTAAAAAAAGCTCTACACTCAGAATTGCGAGTGTAGATTGATTTAGCATTGTCAGGTTTACAACAAAAGTAAAAGTTGGGAAAACGCTCCGGAAACCGCTAGTAAAAACTGCCATTAATGCTCTCCAACAAGAAACAGGCGGGGTCTGTGTATATTAATGTGTGGTTACTCTACAACTTACGGTTTGAGCCATGAAAGTAATACCACTGCAATTAGTAGTGATAAATTAAAATTACTTTCAATAAATTGAATTTATAATCTAGTTATAATGACAATCATGCCCTCCAGACCGAATTTCGGTGATGACGGCCGGCCTCAATAGAGACTAGTCATCGACGCAGGACAAAATTATAGTGTATGCGCAAGCAAGTTTACACTCCCTATTCCCTTATTCTCATGGTTCGATGGGACGGTGTACCAACAAAACACAACGACACAAGGCGCGGGGGTGAGACACCGCCAACTTCCTGACTCCGCGCAGCTACTGCAAATTTCTTGGCGGAAAAACTCAATAACTGATATTTTTTGGCCCGATCCGAGATTCGAACCCAGGACCCTATGATCGGTAGTCGCACTACTACAACCACTAGACCAACGAGGTAGTCGTTTATAAACTACACTGTATGAAAAAATCTAATTTTATTTATTTTAGTTGCAGTGAGGTGATATAACCAGCCCCTACATCCGTGGTGTTGTAAGGGGTTACAAGGGGAAACTAAAACAGGAGATGGGGGGCAGCATGTTTCTGGTAAGAACTTTAAACAATAAAAAACTGCGGTTGCCAACTTGCCTGCCAAGCATGGCAACTGTGGCTAAATCCTCAAAATAAGACGATCTATGGGAGAGGACTATGTTCAGCAGTGGACTTTTATTGGATGGATTTAATGGATGGATTTATTTTATAAATGAATAAATTTTGATCCATATAGATGTGTAATTTTTTTTATAGAATAAGGGTGTCAAACGAGCACACAATCCACCGGATGCTAAGAAGATGCTGTGGCCCATAGACATCTACATTTATCTTCGATTAAGAATGAAAATGCAAATGCATTGTTACCCATGAGGACTAAGATGGAATGCTTCGTTTCCACTAAAAAAGGTCTCCGGTTCTCTACACTCACCATACGAAACACAGCAGCATGGAGCTGCTATTTTACGCTGGTATTCTGTGGGAGCGTGGCCCTTCGCCAGTCGAGCCGACCCATTCGTGCTACATCGTAGCATAGCAGCACCATGGCTTTAACTTCTAAGAATAAAAAAGGTTATCAAATTTTCTATATGAGATATAGTACTTTCGAGGATACTACCTGCAAAAATATAGTACGAGAAAAGATTTTGATTACATTTCATCTCTTACACTTAATACATTCATTTAAAACTAATATTAACCTTTAGATGATTTTTCTTTGGTGCTTCGAGCCTTTATTGACAGCCTTTACACCATAGTCGGACTTTCAATCTCACCTGGTGTTAAGTGGTGATAAATTCCAAGATGGCTAATCACACCGTCTTAGCGTAACAAAAGCCTATTCACTCTTGCATTCAGAAACAGATTATAATCGGACAGAAAAACTGACAATGATGACAATAATGATCTGAAGATTGAATTTTCTTGCTATACTGCGCAGGACAGAATTATAGTGCCCAAGTGTATGCGCAAGCACTAGTGCACTCCATATTCCCTCACTCTCATAGTCCGATGGGATAGTTATCCGAATCTACAGGAAACAGATGAGGCCCAGGGCTTTAACTGCTTTCCGGGGCACAGAGTTAACACCGCCACCGCAACATCCTGACTCAGAGCTCCTACTTACAATTTATTGACAGAAAAACCCAATTACTCATTTTGGCCCGACCCGGAATTCGAACCCGAAGCGTTATGATCAGCAACCGCCAACGACCAACGAGGTATCCTTAAAATTCCTAAATAATTATATTATAATATATATTATAGGATTCGGTCCCCCAGTTTTGTAGGATACTGTATTTTAGGGTATATTGTGTACTGATAGGTCATTGAGGAAGTTAAGCTGCCGTTAGTTAGTTATAATCTATAATACCGACTATTGCGTTGAAATATTCATTCCAACAGATTGGTACACTGACAACAGTCGGTTAATTGGATTCGAACTGAAGTAACTAACTCTTCACCTCCCACTACCTTCGTTCGTAAGGTTGAATTGAATTGGCAGCCGCTTGGGGTTGATTGACTTGCGTGCGGTCGTCTTCGATTGGAACTACGGGACCGAATAACAGATACTGTTCAAAAACATGTGTTGAAATACAATTTGGTGAAACCGTTCGAATCGATTATAAAATTAAATTGTTCACTTACCTGTACCCACGAAAGCTAAATACAACAGATAAATGATCAACAGCCATCTAGTCTCGAACTATATGATTTTTAATAAAGTGTAAAGTGCATATCTATGTTGATAATTCAAAATGTATATCTTGATATAAATGAATTGATAGCTACCTTAATAAATATGTAAACATTATTATTAAAATAAGATTAAAATAATGCTCAATATAATAAAAATGAACACCCACCTTGAATTAGATCTTTTCGAGGAATCGTGTTTTTTCCCGCCCTGTAGATTAGGCAGGTCCTTTTGCCTTTTCTTCGTTTCCCTCCATATCTTGTAATACAATATACACATCACTGTCACTGGCACGTAGAATGCCGCGATAGCGGTCCCGAAGGTAATAAACTGGTTTGTCTCTATGAACTGAATGTAGCACTCGTGTGGGGGGACCTTTCGCTCACCATCAATGTACGGCCACGCATAAATCCAAGGAGGCCACAACACTAAACTAAAACCCCACGCACCACCTATCATAACTTTCGCACGGCGAGTAGTCCTTTTAGCCCTGTAGGTCAACGGGCGAGTCACACTGAAGTATCTATCGAAACTTATAATGAGCAGATTCAACACCGAAGCGTTTGAGGCTAGATAGTCGAGTGCCAACCAAGTGTCGCATACATGCGGCCCGAGTGGCCAATACCCGAATATTGTAAACATTGTGAAGAGCGGCATGGATATCAAGCCGACAGCGAAGTCTGCGACCGCGAGTGAGAAGAGAAAATAGTTGCTGATCGTTTGCAGTTGCTTGTCGATCTTGATGCTTATCATGACCATCGAGTTACCCACGACGGTGAGAACGGAGAGGACGCTACCGATGATGGCGATGACGATCGTTTGGGCCAGGCTGTAGGGGCTTTCTGGGAGGTCGGGGTCGAGCGCCAGGTCTGAGAGGTTGGCTGTTGAGTTGGAGTCGTTGAGCATGACGTCAACTCGGCGAGCCGCCCGCGGCCCCCGCTCCGCCCCGGCTCTTACGCCGACCGAGAGCCAATCCGCCTGTGAACAAACATTTTCTAAATTAAAAGTCATTTTCAAACTGGGCAGTCTACTTAATAATTTAATTCACAAATGGTGGTAACCGCTCTCGCATACTAATACATTATAATCGAAAATTGAAGGACCTATTTAAGTATTTATTAGCAGTTTTTACAGCGTAATAAAGTATACATATATACATGCTTTTTATGTTCAAAACATTTTAAACAATAATTAAACAGCTGAACGTACTCCGGATTAATATTGACATCGGGACGTCAGTCACCTCAGTCCCTCGTGACCGTGATGAGTGCTAGAAAGCACCCGAAACGTCGGGAGTTAAAAAAACCATTTAAAATTAAACGCGATACAATCCGTAAAAGTAGCTTTAATCAATGTGTAGTGTTCGCGTAAATATAAGAAATCATTACGTTTTAAACAATTAAATAAAAGCATTTTGAACATGTTTACGGATGTAGGATCTAAATTACCTTACCTTCCAGCATGGGAAATATTCAAAAAAAATATCCAAACAAAAATAAGTTCCATTTCTTTCAAATTTCATTCTTATCGCTTTACTTAAACGCTTATCTTTATTTACTTGTTATTATAATATTCAGCATTCTACTGTTTAATAAATTAATTGTTTAATTTTAAGGAATGTTATGTAATGACAAAAAAGACTTCAATTCTCTAATGTTTCCGATGTACAAAAGACATTATGAGCATTTTCCACGGAAAACGTTTAAAAATGAATGCATAGAAGCATGCGTAATTCTGAAATAATGAAATAAAATTTATTCTATTCACAATATGTTTTTTTTTTCAAATAGTTCATGGGATACCTTTGGAGTTAGGGTGAGGAGTAGAGACTATCATTTTGTAGCATTTTTTGAAAGAGGTAGTGCCACGCTGCATGCATGCATGTAGCCGAATTGGGCCGGCACGACCGGAAAAGTACCTCTCGCTTACGAAGGGTCTGTATAACATCCAGACAGATGTCTACGGGCGTCGGTAGTCATGAAAATGGCTGCGACTGCTCGTTTGCCCCCTTATAATATAAAAAAAGCATGCTTACTTTAGACTACTTTTTTAACTAAGTATACTTTATACTGAAAAAATAACCTCTTAAATAGAATATTCAAAATCACATCTGTTGTTAGTTAAATACGAGAAGTATCAACATGTTGTAACTACGCTAAATCTCATATATTTCTTACTCTCACAAAAAAAGTGATTTGGCATGAACCATTTTGAATTCAATTCAACGATAATTTTGATAAACTTTTTGAGCAAACAGAAATTAATAAAAATTGCTCATTAAATAGTAATATCACAAAAAACTTTTAAGCAGTTATCTTTAGTTTTAAACCAAACCAATGGAGTTGCCATTGGATTTCAACTACTCGCGTTGAAAGCGTCCATTAGATTCGTTAAATTGAAACCAACTAAAGCTTTGAATTACGAATTTCCTATTGTACAAAATGGCACAAACGAAATAGAACTTTAGAGCTACGTGTTACAGCATAACTTTCATACAGTAACGAATGACGTCTCAGGTTGAAACAAGTACCTGAAGCCGGAACAATGTTTGTTCATTAAATTGAACGTAGTTTGTCTGTCCATACAGATTGTACCGTGTTTGCTTAGAGACAGATGTTTACTGAAACACAGTCCTGATTCTAACCTGTTTCACTTACATAACTGAATTGCAAGATCGCAATGACAAGCACACGTTCAAATTTGTCGAAATTGACATCTATTTTTGTTTTTTGTTTTTTTTTTTTAAACATTGTGTAGTGATAATCATATTTACCTAATGGTAAATGGTAATAGAAGAATACAGTGCAGTTTATTATGTGATAGAGCTATGCTGCAGTTATATTAATAGTATAGTTGTAGCATGAATGGTTCGGCTCGACCGGGGAAGAACCACGCTCTCACAGAATACCAGCGTAAAATAGTAGCATAATGCTGATATGTTTCGTATGGTGAGTGTAGTGAACCGGATACCCTTTTTACTGGAAACGAGGCATTCCATATTAGTCCTCACGGGTGACAATGCGTCTAGATTTTGATTCGTAATCGAGGATAGAGATGTCTATGGGCCACAGCAACCACTTACCATCAGGTGGACTGTGTGCTCGTTTGTAACCCTAGCCTAATAAAAAAAAAAGAAAAAAAAAGTAAACGACTCAAAATGTTGCGGGTTCACCAATCGATTACTTTTAAGCTTACCAAAATGGTTTAAGGGAATTTTTGTAATGTTAATAGCATTGCTAGTATGTTTTTAAATAGTGTTTCCAATTATTTTGGTCTAATCTTTGCGAAATTATAACTATTAAAATAAACAGTCAAAATATTTTTTCATATATTTATTAAAAAAATTATTACACATATTAAAAAAATTATCATTACAATACAATCATAACGATCCACAATTTCATATCTAACCGATTTATTAAAGTATTTATGTTTATGCCATCCAGCCATAAGATAGGCCTATGTACCACTTTCAGCGTCAATCAACTTGTCTTCCATAAAATTACTTCACATGTAGAATTAAATATATGGCGTACAGGGGAAAGCAGAAAAAAAAACAAAACAAAAACTGAAAAAAATAGCAATAAAATAGTAGCTTAATGCTGCTATGTTTCGTATGGTGAGTGTAGAGAACCGGAGACCCGTTTTACTGGAATTGAGGCATTCCATCTTAGTCCTCAGGGGTGACAACGCATCTGCATTTTGATTCTTAATCGAGGTTAAATATAGATTTCTATGGGCCACAGGATCTACTTACCATCAGGTGGACTGTGTGTTTGTGCTCGTTTGTCACCCTAATTCTATAAAAAAATCCCGACCACAGCGTCAAAGGTGAGAGACGTCTGGTACTGCCATCGTCATTCCACCTGCAAAGCGGGACAATTAAATTACTACAACATTTACAATTACAATTAACAATGACAATTAAAGGACTACAACAGCAGAGGCTGGTGTGCAGCAGTGAACATGTATGAGCCGAAGAAGAAAGAAAGTTGTTATATCTGTATTGTTGATATCCAGTTATTCGTTATTCGAAATATTTTTTAATTGTCTTTAAAATGGTAATTTTACCGGCTATTTATGTCATGGCTGCCTCGTTGGTCTAGTGGTCGCAAACTTGACAGCTGATACTATAGTCCCGGGTTTCAATCTCAAGTCCACCCAAAAAATCAATTGTTGGGGTTATGCTGTCAAAAAATTCTCAGTGGCAGCCCGGAATCAACAAATTGACGCTGTTTCATCCCCATACATCGGAAAGCTCGTAAAGCCGTTGGTTCTACGCCTAATCTCTCTCCAGTCGAATCGGGTTGCCGTCTATTGACTATGAGAGTAAGAAAATAGAGAGTGCACCTCTGCTTGCGCATACACTCGGGCACTATAATCCTGTCCTGTGCAAATGACTTATCTCCGTTGAGACTCGCCGCCATGATCTTAATTCGGTTTAGACACTATGTCATTATGTTTTGTATTTTTTGGAGTATATGTGCAGTAAATCTTTCTATATTAATTTTACAATAGGTCGTCAATCATATCAAGTAAGATTTTACGATATTTAAAGAAGATAAAAATATTTATGTCATTGCTTTTGACTTAACGTTTACTAAGTTACACTATAATCAATTTATTACTTTAAAATTATCCTTTCAGACGTGGTAGGTCATTGGCAAGTCAAGGTTACGTGACAAATCAATAAAAATAAAATATATTATTGAGACATATGGACTTTACTAAGAGGCCTGTACACACAAAGGGATGTTTATACTATAGACAAATACTTAATACTTTAAAATACACCCCAAATAAGAAGCGCGGCGATTTTTTTTTTATGTAGGTTCAATATAACATTGCGCGACAAAATTTATTGCATTTAACTTATTTACTTTCTTGTTATCGTTTGAAAAAGTGTTTAATTTCTCGTAGAAAGATGTATTTATATCCTCCTTTCTCGTATTTTTTATAGAATAAGGTTGACAAACGAGCACACAGTTAAACAGATGGTAAGTGGATGCTATGGCCCATAGACATCAACATTTATCCTCGATTAAGAATCAAAACGCAGATGCGTTGTCACCCCTGAGGACTAAGATGGAATGCCTCGTTTCCAATAAAAAAGGATCTCCGGATCTCTACACTCAAAGACAGCAAATATTAAGCTGCTATTTTACTACTGCTGGTATTCTGTGAGAGCGTAGTCCTTCCCCGGTCGAGCCGACCCATTTGTGCTCCAACCATAATATAGCTGCAGTGTGGCTCTACCACGAAAAATGTTTTCTTTATTTCTTTTTTCTTTTAAAAGAAAATTAAATTCCACAGATAGGATTATTCCTCTGGCGGCGTTTAACACACAATTTTCACATCCTTATATTTGTTAAAGCTACGATATCAGAAACAGAAACAGAAACTTTTTTATTCAATGTAGATTATAATCAATACTTATTGAAAGTCAATTTTTTCAATTACCACTGGTTCGCAAAAAAAAACCTCTGTCCTGGGAAGAACCAGCAAGAAACCCAGTGAGACTATTTTTTTTTTCAAATAATAGCTTACAATCATTTTTGAAATTAACAACACAAGACAAATTAGAAATAGCTTGCCAGCGATCACCCTTCCCGGGGTATAGTTAGCGGGGGGTGGAAGTTGCTTTTTCGGGGGTTTGTCGGTTATTGGTATTTCTCCATAAATTCCTTAATATTATAATAACCCTTTTTATACAAACTTATATTTATAGTTTATCAAAAGTCCACTGCTAAACGTAGGACTCCCCCATTGATTGCCACATAGGCGGGATATTTGCCATAGTTGCAATGCTTTCCGGTGACTTGGCATCCGCAATTTTTAAGTTGTTACGGCTTGCGATACTACATAGCACATTAATGTAGCGTTTTTATATTTAAAATAATGAAAAACCATTTATTTTATCAATTTTTCTTTTTTGGCATTAGCCTCTATCTGTTTGTTAAGTTTCATTACAATCGGTTAAGCTTTTCTGAAGACTATCCCGGAGACAGACA